AAGGTAACCCAATCACAAAAAGACAAACATGGTATGTACTCACTCATACCATGTTTTTAGACATAGAGTAAAGGATTATCAGCCTACAATCCACACTGCCAGAGAAGCTGGTAAACAAGGTGGACCCTAAGAGAGACATACATGGTCCCCTGGAGAAGGGGAAAAGCCCAAGATCCCCTGATCAAATTGGGAGCATGGGAAGAGGAGGAGGGAGCTAAGAGAATAAGAAGGGGAGAAGAGGAGGGATGCAGAGGACATGAGGGAGCAGAAAGGTTGAGTCAGGGGAAGAATAGAAGATAACAAGATTGGAACTACCATAATAGAAGGAGACATTTTTGGTTTACAGAGAAATAGGTACTAGGGAAATGTCTGGAGATCTACAAAGATGACACCAACTAATAATCTAAGCAACAGAGGAGAGGCTACCTTAAATGCCCTCCCCTGATAATGAGATTGATGACTGACTTATATGCCACCTGATAGCCCTCATCCAACAGCTGCTGAAAGTAGAAGCAGACACCCACAACTAATCACTGAACTGAACTGGAATCCAGTTGCAGAGAAGGATGAAGGAAGAGTAAAGGGGTCCAGACCAGGCTGGTGAAAACCACAGAAACAGCTGACCTGAACTTCGGGAACTCTTGCTCCCCAGACTGATAGCTAGGATACTAGCATGGGACCAATCCAGATCCCAGGAACATGGGTTTCAGTGAGGAAACCTCGGAAATCTATGGGACCTTAGTTGTTCAGTCATTATCCCTAGCACAGGTGTGTACTTTGGGAGCCCATTCCACATTGAGGAATACTCCCTGAGCCAAGACACATGGGGGTGGACCTAGGCCCTATCCCAAAGGATATGATAGAATCTGATGACACCCTATGGAAGGTCTCACCATCCAGTGGAAGCAGAAAGGTTATGTGATAGGTCACAGAAGTTTTGACCACTGCCATTCTCCCTGGAAAGCCTATCTCAGTTTCCTTGAAGGTTGTGGGGTTTCAAGAAAAAGGATCTGTGGTGGACTTGTTGGAGTCTGTAGAATGCAGGTAGGCTGATGAGGATGTAGTTAAGGTACTGGAGGCCCATGATCATGTGCTCCATTCTCTCTGTCTCTGTCTGTGTTTCTATCTCTCTCTCCCCCTCTCCTTTCACCTTCAGCCTGTTTTGTCTGAATGTCCTTCATTTGAAGGGAGAGCAAATGACTCACAGTGGAGATCATTGTCAACAGAGATCCTTCCCTTTCCTTCTCTGGTTCTTGGTCTCAAGTGAAAATCTATTCCCTTTTCACCCTCTCCCTCTTTTCCCTTCCTCTGTCTTTCCCATAAGCAGGCTGCTTCTTTTACTCCAGAAATACATACATCATTTTAGTTTTTAACAACTGTCTATGCCCAGTCAGCTTATTTACTAAATATATTTTCTTTTAATGCCCTGATTTCCTGGAGCAGCTGTCTGCCTCAGCTGACTGTAGTCTGATGCAGATAAGTGTCACCTTTCCTCAAGCTTAAAAGCTAATTTAGGGTCATTATAAGATAATAAAACCCACAAGTTTGATGTGTTAATATTTTGTTAATATACATAAAAGTCAGTGATTATTAAAATAGTAATAAAAACCTCAACACATACAGAAAAAAATACATTGTTTCCTCTATGTTTAATAGGCCTTAATTAGAAACCTCCAGGCAATATGCAAAGTTTAAAAATAACTTACAGAAATGTGAAATAAAGGTAGAATGCCACTAAACTTTCATAATAATTCATATATTAAATGATTTATTTATTTAAAAAAGAATGTATGTCAAAACCGTGAATATATAATATTAAGAGTATAATAAAAGCAAAAATGCAGAGAACACCAGGAAGCTCTCTAGAGGACCTATGCTCACACATCTGCTCTTTGGAGAGCTAACTTAAGAAATATTCAGTGTATCTGGATGTGTCTTATCAAGGTTGGCAATTGTGTGTCTCCTGACTTAAGACACAGACCTGAAAAGGAGTGATGAGAAAGAAAGTGTAGCATGTAGAGAAAGCCAAATTTCTTACCAGTATATGCAAAATGGTTAAAAGAATGGTGTTGTTTTTCTACGGAAGACAGACAACTGGATGAAAATTAAAAAAAAAATGGATCTTTTTCATTAGAAGAAACAGCACTTAATAGTCCCAAAGCAAACATTTCATAAGCTAATAAGTGACTAAAGCCTGAAGAAATCCAGGTGATGTTACTGTTTCTACTTATACCTTAGATATTTTCTTTTTACTATGTGGAGAGTAGTCTGTTCTCCCAGGGCATTTGCCACTCTGCTTCACACAAAAGATGTTTATGGCACAAGGCACCATGGAAACTTGGAAAACTATCCACTGTGCGTGAGATTAAAGAAAAGTAACAATGAGGGACGAGAGCAAGTAGGGGCTTTATGGGTTGAGAAAGGGGCTGGGCCGGGGAGGATGGAGGGCAAACTGCAGGGATCCGAGTCAAGGGCAGGAACAGCAGTGTGTGTCTCTACTATGCCTCTCAGGGCTTCTTGCTGACAGAGTCTCCGTGACACCCAGAGAGAGGGGATGGGGTGGCTTTATGGAAAGCTGACCTTTCATGGTGAGCAATCATAAACTAAGAGGAAAATGAAGCTTGTTAATGACCTGTGAGTCTAGCAGGCCATGATATTAAACACAAGCACTGTTTGTGTGTATGTGGGCGGGGGAACTTATTCCTACCAAAAGAGGCTGAAGTTTTCAGTGTCATCATGTCATCAAAGATTATGTCATGGAGCATCAAGTTATTAATATTCATGTGACAGCTTCCTTTCAGACTCTAGCAGCATCACAGTATTAATATGAAACCATTTTCATGTTTTTAGGTCATTGGTTTCAGCCATGCTCTGTCAAGTCTCCCTTTCCTTTATTCATGATACTTTGGCTAAATGCCATAATTTCTCCACCTGCTTTTGCCTGTTAAATTTTACTCCAAAACAGTTTTAAGCCTCAAAATTAGTTCTGATTCAAACATTGCCATTCTTCTCCACACTTTAAGAATACATGAAGGACTCACAATGAGGTGTGATTGACTTTTAAAACACCTTGTGGGATGTTACCCATCCCCATTCCAGCTGCACTGTCAAAAACAAAGAGAAGGTATAAAGAAATTCACATGTCTTCTTACTCAGCTGGGAAAGGCCATGGTCTCCATGGAAGTCATTGCTTCGTCACCTCTTCATCTGGCTCTGCTCCATGTTGTATTCTACAGTAACCTCCAGGTATAGAGGCTTCCAGGGATCCTCTGGAGTATCTACATTGGTACTTGACATGAGAGATCTGGCTCTAACTTTACCTCCTTTAACCTATACACATCCTTCCATCTATGGTACACCCGCTGTTCACTACTCTAGAGAACCATCTCAGGAAAGGGACAAGCTCACACCAAGCTCTTTGCTACAAAGTCTACTCAATGGGCATCTTTGCCATGGCCCAAGAGAGCTGCTTAACAGTGCCCCCAGTCCACTATACCATCTCTTTCCGATTATTTTATTCCAAACCGAGAAAGCCTGACAAAAGCTTAGCAAGTGGTATCCCAAAGCCAGTTTCCCAAGAGAATAAGAACAAGCAGACAATTCCACTCTCCACATCCTACAGCACCTCTGACTTTAAGAACGCTTTCTTTTGAACCCCCAACCATCAAAATGACAAAATCCACAAACATTTCACTGCCCATCTCATAAACAGGATGGGAGCATTGATGGATCTCTCCCTGTAAACTACATGTGGAGAAGAAAGTAGTAATACCCGTTTGGTCCTACTGTTGTTGGCTCCAAAGGGAAGCCAATAGCATCAACTAGGAAGATCACCAGCAACACTTTTCTCTGAACCGGAGTTTCCCACCCTGTTGCAGATGGTTCTTCCTGCCAGCCTGGTCCCACAGCCACTTCAGCCCCAAATAAACACACGGATGCTATATTAGTTATAAAACTGTTGGCTGGTAGCTTGGGCTTCTTATTGGCAAGCCCTGTCTTAATTATTAACCCATTTCTATTATTCTTTGTATTTCCACGTGGTCTTGGCTTACCAGAGAAGGATCTGGACCTGTTACTCCTCTGGTGTCCTACATGGTGACTGACTTTGCCTACGGTTCCCAGAATTCTCATCTAGTTTCACCTATCTCCCTGCCTCTATTGGCCACAGTGTTTTATTCATCAACCAATAAGACAAACTGATATACAGAAGGGCATCTCCCATCACCACCCAATACCATGGACTCTGATAATTGGCTTTGGAATAATGAGACAAATTCTACCCAGTATTCTGCTATAGTATTTTTAAAAACCATGTTTCAAGGAAGTTCTGGGGCTTGCTGTTCTTCCAGAGGTCCCAAGTTTGGTTCCCGGTACCTACACCAAAGCTCACAACCATCCGTTATGAGATCTGGTGCCCTCTTCTGGTGTGCAGATATACATGAAAGCACACTGATATACACACTCAGACATGCACACACACTCACGTATACACACACACACACACACACACACACACACGCATGCACTCACACATGTACAATCTGTTTAATAAAAAGAAAGTCCTGGTACAATGACATGTTTTTGTATTTTCTGGCAGACCCTGGTGGAGTATGGAGCAAATGTCACTATGCAGAACCACGCTGGGGAAAAGCCCTCCCAGAGTGCTGAACGGCATGGGCATACCCTGTGCTCGAGGTACCTAGTGGTAGTGGAAACCTGCATGTCACTGGCCTCACAAGTGGTAAAGTTGACCAAGCAGCTAAAAGAGTAAGTGGCCTCTTGATTCTTAGGGAACAAAATCTGCCTGTATTTGTTGTGCTTAGATTTCAGCCAAGGGATTTGGAGAGTTCCCTTCATTCTAGTAGAGAATGGAGGCTGGGCATTCTCATCTTGACTTCTTCCATCCTAAGATGCTCACAGCCTGTGTTCATGCTTAACATACCAGCTCTAAAGAGGCAAAGGGTATTAAGCCATAGAGTGCAGAGCAAGCCCACCAACTGGGATCCCAGTCATTGTCAAGAGGGAACATTCGTCTGCATTCCTGTCACCTCAGGGATGTGTCATATCAGGGCTTGAGCAGCACACAAGCATCCTCTCTGTCCTGTCATCCTTCATGTATGAAATCACGAGGAGTGTGAGAGAGGGAAGGCTAGAAATGGCTCCACTTTCAGTTTTCTCAAGAAGGAAAGTGTGTCTTTGGGAAATTACAGATATAAGTGTCTTAATACTTATCAACAGAAATTTGTTGGAAAAAATGAAGCCAGGTTATAATTAGCTTTCAGAATATAAATGTCACTTCTTAAAGTCAGTCCTTTGCTTGATGGATTACTAAACTGGGACACATTGCCTATCAGATGTCAGAGAAGCATTTCTGGAATGTGACAACATCATAAATACTTGAAGAAGATGGGACAGCATACAGCCTAGAAAGAATTAAGGAGTTAGTTAGGAACCTACCTCAGTCCTTAGAAATCTGACAGCTGTCAGATTAAGGGAGTTTTCATGGTAATTAGAATCAGGATTCCAAAAGGTTTGACAGATTAGAAGGACAAAAACCGTTAAGTATTAAACTGAATTTTAGAAGAAAAACCTAAAATATATATGCATATTCATATAATTTAATAGTGATATTTATAATATAGTATAGTACAATATAGTGGGTGATGAATCTATTCTAGTTTTTAAAAATATTTTTATGTTGTGTGCATGAATGTTTTGCCTGAATGTTTGTCTGTGCACTCTGTGTGTCCTCGCTGCCCACAAGAGCCATAATATGGTGTGATCAGATCTCCTGAAACTGGAGTTGCAGACAGTTGTGAGCCACTGTGAGCACTTGTGGGTGCTGGAAACCAAACCAGGGTCCTCTAGAAGAGCAGCCAGTGCTTTTAACAACTAAGTCATCTCTTCAGCCCTCTACCAGAGTTTAGTAAGAAAAACAAATGTATCCTATTTACTATTTACATGGATGAGGAAATGGCCAGGATGGATCAGAGCCTGAACTGATTGCTGATATGGGTCGTGTAGAACTATGATGTGGCCCAGGCCTACCTGTGCCTTTCCTGAGCTCAGGCAACCCCTTGTCTCCCTACATGCCCTCCAAGCCTCTAGTGTCCCTCATCTTGCTAGCATATAATCTGAGTTTAAAGGCTAAAATATAAAAGATTTCCTCCAAGAATACTCTGTCAGTTAAACAAAACTTCTCCTTGACAGGTGAGTGTGGGCAGACTTCAAGATCTCACAGTAGTTGAAGGAAGGGTATATATTATTTAATAACCCAATAACTCATTAAGTTATTTTTCCACAGTAAACAGACTCTTACATAAATCTTTATGTATTCCCATAGCTTTCTGAATAAAAGAGTAGCTAGAATAAGAGGCATTCATTTTAAAAATCAGAGAGGCTGGGGTTATAACTCAGTGATAGAGCACTTGTCTGACATGCAGAGGCCCTGAGTTCAATTCTAACATCTTGGGATGTAAGGAGATTGTTACTCAATGCCGTTCCAAAAATGCTGTAGTATCATCCACTCCCTCCAGTGATGAATGGACATACTCATAAAGAGGAGCTTTAAAAACATCCCATAGAATATTTTCCCTAAAATTTCACATCTGGAAAATGGACTTTTTCCAATCTCAGCTTTTATGACACAGACTCTGAAAATTTTTTATGAGTTACATAGCTGTTTTGCTGTTTTATTGATGAACTTCACAAATTCAAGGTCCTGGCCGCTCTCTGTGAGAGTTATCCTGGAATAAGCGATCCCTGTACACTGACAGATGGCAACCATTCAGTTGTCTTGAAATCCAGATGCTGTGGGCAAATGGTGTTAGCCCAGTGACAACATAAACGATGTGAGATGCTCTTGGGTTCATTGATCTTGTGAATTATGTACTTCAGTGAAATGAGCAAACCCAGAAGTATATAGGGAAGTCCATGAAGCAGCCACAGAGCTCTATGTCCTTTATGTGTGGGACCTAGTAACAGGGGAAGGGAGAGAAATAATTTCCAAAGTTTGAAAACACCGGGATTTGCCCACTGTGAGCTCTGGGGACAGTTAGACTTGAGTGCTTCTCCTTCTTCTTAGAATACTGTTCCCAGATCCTTTGTGGCCATTGTTATTGTCTAGAAATGGCAAACCTCAACTCTACTGATGTCCCTGTTAGTAAGTCTAAGTATTTGGAATAGAATTCTGTCTCCCCAGGAAGGTACTAAATGCTAATATTTCAGCATAGCCTTAGTTGGAAATCAGATATTCACAGAAGATATCGAGTCCCAGTGGGGTCATAAGGGTGAGTCGAATCCCTATAAATAATGGAGAGGGGCATACACACAAAGGCTCTGTCATACGAACATGAAGGCAGGGTTCATGGGAAAATATCCACAAACCATGAAACCAGAGTTTTCCAATAAAAACTGGCTGTAGGAGACAGGCATGGGATAGACACCATCATGGCCCTCAAAAGGACCCAACATGGCTGTCTTTCTCTTAGATGACTTAGGCCTCCCAAACTGTGAGTTTATGAATGCTGTTGACTAGGACTGGAGAGATGGTTCAGTAGTTAAAAGCATGATGCTCTTAAGAAGACCATTCCCATCACCTACATCATGTGATTCAAGTGATCTGACACGCTCTTAGGACCTCTGAGAGTGCACGGCCCACACATGGTGCACATATATGCATGCAGGTGCTCACACAGACACATAAAATAAAAAAAAAATCTTTTTAACATTTCCTTTTGTTTAAGCCACCAGGCTTGTGATACCCTTACAGCAATCCTGGCACACTGACACAGTACAAAAACACAGTTGTGTCTCTGTGATTAAGGCTGATTGAGCCTTTCTGGAAGCTTCCTTCGAATCTAGAGACTACGAGGGTCCTCAGCTGTTCTTGTGTTCCAGCTGACAGTCAACACAACTGGTGTCAAAAGAGATTTTTAAATTCTGTCATAATTCCTAAAAGACACCCAGTCTTTCAAAAGTCGACTATATAATCGTCCTCTGCCACCTTTTGAGTGTGCACCTTTCCCTAGCCCACTAGTTCATTCATGTTCTGAGGGTGCCTGACCTTTCTTAACAATGTCTGTGTTCATGTTTGTTTTTTATAATTTTTGTTTTATTTTTTTTCCATGTATGGGTTTTTGTCTGCACGTATGTCTGTGAACTGAGTCTGTGCCTGGTACCTGAAGAAGAGGCCATTGGATCCCCTAGAACCGGAGTTATACATGGTTACAAGCCACTATGTGGGTGCTATGATTCAAACCCAGGTCCTGTGGAAGAGCAGTTAATGCTCTTAACTGCTGAGCCATCACTCCATCCCCTATTTCTGTCTCTTAAAATAGCCCCCCCCCCACACACAGTATGTATCTCAACTAACAAAATGGGATGTATTTAGTCCTATATTAAGCTGGTGTCAGGAAATGGTAAACTGGGCAAAGTCTGCTCACCACCTAATTTTTTAAGTAGTTTAGTTGGCACACAGCCACACATGTTCATCTGTGTGTTATGCAAGGTTAAAGTCATGCTACAAAGATAGAGGTGAGTAGTTGTTCTAAAAACTTAGTGACTCCCCAAGCCTGAGATGTGGGCTAAGCGGTCCTTTAAGAGTTTACTAGGTCCTGCTTTGTACAACTTTGTGGTTTGTTTCTATTATCGTTGTTAAAGATTTATTTTGGTTCTTATTTTATGTGTATGTGTGTGTGCCTAAGTCGTATATCCATACACCACATATGTGCAAGTCCCCTAACTGGAATTGCAAGTTACCAGGGTGGGTGCTGGGAATCAAACTCAAGTCTCCTACAAAAACATCAGATGTTCTTAGCCTCTGAGCCATCTCTCCAAGCCTAAGACTAAGTTTGACTCAGTGAGTTTGGCAGAATGGATGAGATGAAGTAAGATTACAGACCTGGCTTGGTTTTAGAGATGAATGTTTAGAAATAATGCTAACTGCTTCTGAGAAAAAGATGCTTGGAACTTGTGGAAGATGTTATCAGGCTCTGACTTCACAGACATACTTTCAGACAAACATAGTTGTTGAGTATACACAGCAAGGCCCTGCAAGGCTTCCTCCAGTCCATACCTAAGATAATGTAGCCATTGTAAGAACACTTACAACCCTCCATTTAGTTCTATGTCCTGGTTCATGAGAGCTGCTACCATTTTGATGCTTACTATATATATTTCCTATTGTTTATAACAAATTATCATAAAATTCGTGACAACATAGGGCAAGTTTACCATATATTTGTATAAGTTAGGATGTCAGCAGGGATCTTGTCATGCTAAGATCTAGGTGTCGACAGTCCAATTTCCTATAACACAAGCTGTAGGGTGAGTGTTCTGCTCCTTCAGATTGTTATAGAATCAGCTTCTTGCATTTGGATAACTAGGTTCCTGCTAACCTCTGACAGGTAGGTGGGGTCACCCCCAGCTGCATCCTGTAGCCCATAATCTCCTTTCTCTGTGTATGACAGCTGCAGCAGAGTCAAGTCCTTTCCATACTTCTAACCTCTTCCCCACTGTAAAAGGCTTGAATGAGTAGGATAGACCACCCAGAAAACCTTCCTATTTTAACATGTAGACAATGTCACTTCCCTTTTGCCGTGTAATGTGACATATTTGGACATGGATGAACATTCTTGGGGGACTGTATTAACACTGCTTACTGTGTTCAATAAATGCTTCTCATTCCTGTAGAATAAGAGTCAATTTGCTTTAAGCACAGCACTTGGAAGGCTGAGGCAGAAGGAGCTCTATGAGTTCAAGACCAAACAAGTCTAAATGGTGAGCCCCTGGCCACCCAAGGCTACAGAATGAGACCCTGTCTCAAAAGAAGAAAAGAGTCAATTTGATTAATTTATACCAATTCCTATAATAATAATTAATATATATCTTAAGTGATGTTTTTCTTCCTGTAACTGTGACTTTTAGCCTATTTTCTTAACTTAAAAGCACATTCTGATACTATACTCTTTTTTTTTATTAGTTCAAATTAGGAACAAGCTTGCTTCACATGTCAATTCCTTCTCCCTCTCCCTCCCCTCCCCCCACCCTCCCCCCCCCCCCCAACCCCCCCCCCCCCCAGGCAGGATAAGGCCCTCAAAAGGGGCTCCCCAAAGTCTACCACATCATCCTGGGCCAGGCTTAGGCCCTTCCCCATGGATACACATACTCTTATGTCCAGAGGAAATGAAGTGTTATTGTGCATTATTTTTTCTTTATATAAGAGAGTACAAAGCTATTTGCTACCCAAAGTACACATAGGGATTTTGTGTTCCATTTACTTATATTTTTAAGATTAGTAAACTCTTATAAATACCTATAAAAATCCAAATATTTCTAGGCAAAGTGTCTCATGCCCTTAATCCCAGAGCTAAGGAGGCAGACATATTTGGATCTCAGTGGGTTCAAGGCCAAACTGGTCTACATTGCAATTTCCAAGCCATCTAGGGATCCTATCTCAAAAGAAAACAAACAACAAAGTAGTTTAGAAAATATCAGTATGATTCTGAAATACATCCTTCTAGATTTCTGTTCTGTTGATACGGAAGAGAAATTTTTCCTAAATTGTAACTGGCTTAGCAGCTCACATCCATAAATCCTAGGGTTGCAAGGCATAGGCAGGATGGTCCCTGAATCCTGCTGTCCATCCATGATAGCTGAACCATGAGCTCCAAGTTCAATGAGAAACCCTGTCTCAAATACTAAGGTGGAGAGCAACTGAGGAAGACATTTAACAGCAACTTCTGGTCTCCACCTGCACACACACATGCACAAACACACACAAAGGAGACTGTATTACACATAGTGGTTTTTAATATTTTTTCACTTAAGACTAGTAGAGTATAATATATACATACAGATACTAGACAAGTTTTAATATATTCATAAGTATTCAATACTCAAGTAATGCTTTATTGATTGCCATTGCAGAAATGATTGGAATTACTTCACTCTTACTGATAAGCTATTGGTTTCCTCGAAGTTTGTCACAACCATAAACATTAAATGCCTTTTTTTAATACCTTTGATTGCTTCCTTGGAAAACTTTCTGAACCATAAGAATGAAGGCCAAACACTTTTACGGCTTTAAACTGATTGCCATCTACTACCTTTTCATGAAAATTCTTCTCCCTCTAGTTTTGACAGTGGCCATGCATCAAACACTGTGTTCTATGGTTGTTTCTTGCAGGCAAACAGTAGAGCATGTCACATTGCAGAACCAACTCCAGCAACTTCTAGAAGCCCAAAAATCAGAGGGCAAATCACTTCCTTCCTCACCCAGGTAATACCAGTCATGTTTGTATTTGAATTGTTGGATATTTGAATTCTTTAAATCTTCCTCTAGTCTTTCATTTCATGTTTTTCAAGAAAATGACCTCAGAATACATTTTACTCTTATAAAAATAAATTAAAAGGTATCACAATGAAAAATCTATGTCTGTGGTCACAGTACCTGAAATAATCTCCAGCTTTTCTATTTCTTTATGCCACACTACTAACAAGTCATGTTCTCTTTTGTTGTCTGACCTGTAAATGAGAATAAGGACATATATCCTTTTTTCCATCTATCTTCTTTTTTAAAATTAGTTCAAATTAGGAACAAGCTTGGTTCACATGTCAATCCCTTCTCCCTGTCCTTCCCCTTCCCCCCAACCCTCCCCTCAAATTCCCCATGTAACCACACCCCATCCCCCCTCCACTCCTCAGGAAGGGTAGGGCCCTCCACTGGTGCTCCCCAAAGTCCACCACATCATCCTGGGCCGGGCCTAGGCCCTCCCC